AGTATATAAGAATTGTGTTTCATGAAGACTTTAAAATCCTTCACTATCAAATTTTCTTTGCCTTCTCTGATGGCTGACTACTCAATGTGGCTGAAACATTCTGAGCTTGAAATTATTTATTTAAGCTCAGCAAAAAACATTTTTTAGGGGAAATCAGTTTGCTGGATAAATTCAAATTAAAATTTTTAATAATCAAATGAATCTTAAGATTGCTCTGTAGCATATCCAGTTGTTTCCTCCCCAACTAATTATCAGGAAAACAATTTTACATTGCTTACCAATCCTTATGCAGGAAACCATTTGTGTTTCGTGCTACAGCTCTTCTTCTTTCAAAGAAAACCTAGAAGCATCTTAATGAATGGTATGTGCACGGGAGGATAGAGAGTGCTGAGGGTGTGGTTTTTAGGTATTTTGTCATTTGGATTTTTGGTCAGGATCCTTAATGTTTTGCATCAGCGTGGGCTTTTAAATTAGATGTGAAGTAAGACTTCTTTCTACATTTTTGTAGTTAATTTAGTGAAAGATGTGAAAGTGAAAGCTTGTGAGAGATGCTGGGATTGGCAGCCCTGCAGAATGAAGTCCTCTGTTCATCCACAGAACAGGTACAGCACGGGCAAGATTCACCCACCCGCCCTCAGCCCTGATCTGGAGGGAGCACCAGTAGGGGTGGGAGGGTAATTCAGCTTCTGAGGCCCTTTCACTCCCTGGAGTCTTTGCTGAGGTGACTTACAAAGGTGATCACTGCAGTGACATTTTTCCTAAAATAAAAAAATAAAAAAAGTGGAAACACAATTAGGAACTAGATGGACATTTCCAGCTCATTTCTGAAAAGACCGCTGAACAGCAGTCAGTAATTCTAGCTTTCCTTTCTCTGATTTCAGATCTAAAAAGCTAATTCAAGAATCTGATCAGCACCTGAAAGATGTAGAAAAAATTTTGCAAAATGACAAACGGTATCTAGTGCTGGACTGTGTGCCAGAAGAGAGGCGCAAACTGATTGTGGCATATGTTGATGACCTGGATCGCCGGGGTCCACCCCCACCCCCCACAGCCTCAGAGCCCACAAGACGATCAACAAAATAGTTCTGAATACTCTTCCCCAGGGGTATCTATCAATTTACAGCGCTTGCATGAACCAATTTTCAGACTTTTACATATATGTACATTAGTCAACCTATTGCAAAACCATCTGACGAACAGAAGGAGAAGCATTTGTGAACAGTGTCTGAATGGAGAACACTTTGGAAATATTTATGCTTTTCTTTGTGTGGCATGACTGACATACATACTCAAACATAGGCTGTCTAGTAAATTTAAACTCTTGAAGCTAAAAATCAAACTTCTATGAGGTGTGGAGGTCAGTGACTTGGTGACGTTCTTCCTAGCAGTGTTAACACATGCAAAATGTAAAAAAAGCATTTATGGTTTGAACTTGAAGGATACAGATACCACAGACTCCCAAGAAAACCTAAGTTTGGGTTTGTTTGTGTGTTTTTTTTAATTTGTTTTTTTGTTTTTGTTTTTTAAAGCGGGTAAAAGGGAAAACACTGAAAATTGAATTCTTCCAGGGGCTAAGATGATTATAATGAACATGCTTTTACCTTTGTCTCTACCGAACTGTTAAGTTTGTTTGTTCACTTATGTGCTCCCTTCTGAATGACAGGCCAAATCTTGTTTAGATTAAGAGAAGAATTGTTTAGTAATTTCTTCTCAGGTATTGAACCACAGTCAATTAACAGGTTGGCCAGAATAGGACTGCTGGTTAAACACATTTTATTCACCATTAAGTGATCTTTATGAATATTCTGGAGTAGACATACAATAAATTACCTTTCTGGTTCCCTGTAAACTATATTCCTGTTTAAATGTTAAACTTTTGTTCCTACAGTTTAAATTTAAGATGTTTGAATGTTCAGTTTTATGTATTTGAACTACAATAAACCAACTCTTTTTCTATATGTCGATTGTATATGATTGCTGTTAAATAAGTTAAAGGCTTATTTACTTAAAACCTATTCCTAAAAGAAGTAGCAAATGCTATTTGGCATAAAGGATGTTGGTTTTAAATAGTGAATAACTGCAGTTTTAAAGGCTTGGATATAGTAATAAATTATTTGCATTAAAGGGAAGGAATTTGTAAAGAAACACTTGGCGCGCATTCTCTTAGCAGGTTATCATTGCTTCATAGCTAGAACATGCTGATGTTTTTGTTTTTGCTGTTTTCTTGGATTTGTCATTTATCTTGATAGTGATGCTTTGTGCCTGTTGGCATCTTTTTCATGTGCTGTGCACAGTGCATATCACGCTGTGAAACCTGGCTAGGAAGCTTTACCTCCCACTTAAAAAAGATTCCTCTATTTTATCCCTTCATAGTGCTGCGTAAATAAAATATTTAAAGAAAATGTTATATGTTAACAGAATTTCGTTTTCCCTGTTATGTGACACCTGCCATGATTCCAACAAAGTCATCAGCAGGGACGCAGTAAATGTGTATTTGGTACATCTGCATGACTTAGTATTTACACATGTTAAATGCTGTAGACATGATGTGACACTATGTAGTATTAGAGACTTGTGGTAAATTACCAGCCTACTCCTTAACCTGTAAAATCTGTAATTAATAGATGCTCTGGATATATTTTTTCTTTTAAAAAATTCATTTTTATAAATCTGTTGAGCAGTTTATAAATTGTATTAGGAGTGCAAGTGTTTTATAAAGGGGATACAATTATTATGGATGTAAGACTCCCTTCAATGATGATATTTTTAGAATGCCGATTTTGTTACTCTGGATTTCACATGGTATTGCTCGCCAATACTGTGTTTCTCACAGTAGAGAACTGTGAAGAGAAGGGCTTTAATGATTACTAATCTGTCTTCCATTTTCTCAGGAATATTTGAGTTTGAGTATTCTCAAAAGGAATGAATCGGCTTTATGCAGATTTTTCTCAGGCATCAAGTGAGGACGTTGTGTCATCAGGGTCTTCATGAAAGGTCTAATGTAACTATACCACTCCAGTGTTTACATCTTCATTTGGAGCAAACTCTTTGATGATCCGATTTACCCTGAGCCTTGTGCGATCGATCAGACCCCCCATTGTGCCAGATAGGAGTTTGAAATAATAATTCAAGACAGAAACAGCATTGAGTTCCCCAAAACGATGTGAAGTAAAATGAATGATTTTATTTGTTTACAAGGTAGCTTCAGACACTGGCAGAATATATTCTACATTTATATAGTGAACATAAATCTTTAATTCAAATTGTTAACCACAGACAACTTTAAAGGTAATCCTTGTGTATCTCATCACAAAACAATACTTGGGATAAAAATGAAAACCACTGCCATTGAGTCCAATTTCAACCTGTAGCAGCCCTATCATAGGATGGAGCAGAACCGCGTAACGCGGTTTCTGAGGCTATAGATGTTTTGTGGAGCAGTCAGTTCATCTTCAGAGCAGCTTAGTGGCTTTGGATAGCTGACCTGCAGTTAGTAGCCCAACGCTAACCACTCTGCACCCTGGCTCCTTGGACTTGGATGAACTTGTACTTTCATCTGAGCCTCAGAATTTGTAATGAACCAAGTAGAACCTACTTTCTATGTTGAGAACAATTTAAAAGTCCACAGAAGGAACATTTAAAACAAATATTTCCACAGCACCTTACCAGTATTTCAAACTTTCCATTATTTGCCTTGAAGGCCCTCTTTTTTGAGGGATCTTCTGAGTGGAAATATCCCAAGAGGAGCCCATTATAAGCTAACCAAGAGTTATGTTTAAATGTCTTTATGGTATTTTTGTAGCGGGGAAGATTTGTAGCATAATCATTGTTTTATTGGGTATGTTTCACCTTGCTAGAATAACTATTGGCTAGTACTCAAATTGTGTTTCGGAACAAAATTTAATGATTGCTTTCCTTTTTGTATTGCCTTTGTGCCTTTTATTTTCTGTTCTTTTTAACCAAATTGTCTTGAGGCTATTTGAATTTCCTCTTCCATATTAATCTTTATTATTTGTGTTATTAATCATCATCACTCTGATATCCATGAGGTATTCTGAAAGGTGAACAGGGTTTAGGTTCATTGTTAGGAGTAAGTTTGATACAGTCTAACAACACAGATCCTCTTCTCTGTTCCCTCCTTTGTACTTGAAGTTTTCCTTAATCAGTGAAACCTGTACCACAAACCACAATTTACAGTTTATCTTGAGAGAAAGGAAATGATGGAAATAACCTGTTTCAGGTATACAAGAATAAGAACTCCCCTGCAATTTGAAAGAAGAGACAATTGGGAAGAAAAAAGGCTTTTTAAGATTTTCCTCTATTCGAATAGAGAATACCACAAAATCTTCACATTGGAGATGCATAGAGATGACTTTAGACAGATCAGTAAAGCAGGCTTTAGCATAAGCAAGAATGAATTTACTTAAACTTAACCCCATAATAAGTATTAAATTGACCTAGGACCGGACTAAAATGATACTGTTTATTCTACAGCATTGTGAAAAATTGAATGTGAATTCTCATTAAGTAAGTCAATACTTACTAAACAAATGAAAACTCACTAAAATTTGTTCAGTGTGTTGGAAAAATATCAGATTTTGAACTGGGGTTATGTGAAATGAGATTGGTGGGTTCAGAAAGGTCAGTCCCCAGATAGTGGATAAGTTCAAGCCCCAGTACAGATTGGGTTATAAGGGAGCCCCATAAAAAAGCTGATGTGAATGTGTCAAATAACGTGGACTTTCTGATCATTTATGACAGCTATCCTCACACATGACAGTATTGTAAATGAATTCTGTGGACATCCAGGTTATAATGTGAAAAAGTTAATATTCCTAACTGTTTTACTTGACAAGTTTTACATTTTGAAAAAGACCACAAGCCATTTTTTCCCCTAACAATGATACTTTTTGCTATAGTTAAGTGGTCAACACAGCAATACTAATAAGCATTTAATACATGTAAAATCAACCATAATTTGTTTTGCCCTTTCAAAAAGTCTATTTCTCACACCGCTCTGTCTCTTGATCTTCGTGTTCCCAGGGAATAGGGTCATTATCTTGTGCAGGAGGAGCCGTGTCCCTCTCGTGCCAAAACTGCTCTACATCAGGGAGAATGGGCATGTCTGCTTTCTCGCCTTTCTCTCTGCCGGAGGTGGGAACAGCAGGCTTCTCACTCTCTGCTCTGCAGGTTGGGGACTCCAGAGATGGAACATTATCAGGAAGGACCTCTGAGTTACCCCCTGGTAGTTCCTGCGAGCCTGAGGCAGTTGGGTGTTTGGTCATTGTCCATTTCCAAAAGCCTTTCAAGCCTGCCTTGAACTCCTCTGACATTACTAGAAAAATGAGCGGGTTTGCTGAAGAGATGGAAAACATTAGGACTTGAGACAAGGCTAAGAACCCCTGTGGTGGGGTCGGACCTCCAGCCTTCCGGTGCCACACCCACAGCCAAGCTATCCACTCAGGGAGCCACAGAACAGCTGAGGTCAGGGCAATGCTCAGCAACATCACTGTGAGTTGCTTTGAGCGGATCTGATTTCTAAGCTTTTGAGTTTTAGTTCCTCGATTTTGACATCTGCCGTAGGCTCTCCAGAAATAAAAGCAGGCAAAGAGTAACGGAAGGCAAAATACCAGGAGAGGGTAGAGCTTACCAAACATAGACATGAACTCTTCAGCCACAGCTGGTACATCCATGATGCACATATCCACGCCTGCATGATGCCTAGTGGTGCTGAACAGCCATTCGGGCAGGGGCAGCAAGCTGGCCACGGCCCAGATGGCTGCCACGATGGACCAGATGGTGCAGTTGTGGAAACTTACTTGCTTGGCTGGGCTGCTTGCGTACATGAAGCATACTTTGGCCACTGCGATGATGGTCAGGCTCTTGGCTGCCATGCACGTGTGGATGAACCAGTCTGAGGACTTGCAGACAAACCAGCCGAGATCCCATACGCCTTTGGAGTATGCTATAGCTCGGGCCGGTGCAGAAAACAGCAGAAGGGAGAAATCCGCCAGGCTGAGATTCAGAATCAGAGACTGAATCATGGATGACCTTCCTTTCCAAGCACTGTGAAGGAGAATGCCAATCACACACAGGTTCCCCACGACGCCCACCAGGCACACAGCCACCAAGAGAGCCGGCACTATGGTCCTCCAGTCCTTGGAGTCAGAGGGCAGGTAGCCTCCGGCAAAGTGCAGGTGAGCAAAGGACACATTCATGGTGTTGGAGTTGGAGTCTGCAGAGGGAGCTGCCTGCATCGCCTGTTCCTTCCAGCTCCTTTTTTACAGAAGTCAGCGCCTTATGTGGGCTGGTCTTTTGTCCAGGGAATATGCACACTCGTCAGCCAGTGTCAAATGACAGTGGTGGACCCTCCCATTTCTCCTGAGAGCGCCGTGTGGGAGAAGGTTAGATGTGACCCTGCTGCAGGCCCGATATCCGTGACTAGCTGGTGACAGCAGGAGTCCGAGCTGCCACTCATTAGCAGGACTCGACCAGATTGTCAGCCTGTGGAGTTAAGCAAATAATACACTCATGAATGATAAATGAGAGAACGTACATGGAAGTGGACTACGAGAGGGTCACTAGGGTCAGTAAATGGAATTCATTTCCATCCGTTTCTAAAATTCTGACCGAGGTCTGTAATCCAGTAAATGCTACATCTAAGCCTCCAAGTATTTTATAAATGCCAGTGTATCAGGACCACTTGCACGCCTTGATCCAGTAGGTCCGAGCAGGGGTCTGGGAATTGTGTTTCTCCTAAGCTCCCAGGGGATGTTGATGGCTGCATGTTGGTACACTTGAGAAATACTCGGAAATCAATACTGTCTTCCCCCGTCCCTGGTCCCCCTGCAACTCTCATGCTCCACCCTCAGCCCACCACCCTGCCCCACCAGCAGCTGGCTGAGTCTGGATCCCAGTGAATAATGAAAGCAAGAGCTGGAAAGAAGTTGTCATTTAAAAATCTAATTATTGGTGACTGCTTAACTATTTTGAGTTCCCTAGAGGTAACTAACGGTAGAGCTTGAAACTAGCCCAGGCCCACCACTACTAAGACTTTCCAACATATGATTGTGATGAAGGCAACCAATTGATGACTTCAGATGCTTTTCAGGGAGAATTAATTCACAAAGATTTACAAAGATGAGAAATCAAAGAAAAATCAATGTGGAAAGCAGGTAAGAGATTTTTTTAAAGGAAAATGACATTTTGAAGTTATAAAGAAAATAATTTTCTCACAAAACAATTCTAGGACAAGTTTTGAAGTTTTATAGTGGGCAGTGGAGACTGAATGAGAGGAAGAGGAGCTAGAATTGTTCAAGGAAAGGGCTTGGGGGTTGGAATGAAGACCTGCCCTCCTAAGTGTGGCGAGGGGAGGCGAGGCGAGTGAGGTGAGGTCATTAGATTCCGGGGCTCCCTCTGCTTTCACCAGTTTTTCTTGCAAAAGTTGTAAAATAAAAAAGTCTCTAAGCCCCAGGACTCAATAAGAAAGCATTGACAAATACAGTATGGTCAAGCCAGTGGTGGTGGTTTCCCTTCCTCCCTCCCCCTGCCCCTCTGGCCTCATTCAGCCCTCTTTTTTTTCTTTTCCTTTCCCTTTTGTCTCCCTGTCTTGACTTTTTGCTCTCTTGCTTCTGGGATGTAGCCGTACCTTGGATACAAAATCGGAGGCAATACCATGTGCCCAGAAAGGCTATACCCATAATATAAGTATCCCAGTGACGCAACAACCCCCAAATTCAAGCCCATTGCCACTGAGTCACTCTGTACGCCATAACCGATGGGAGAGTGAAGAAGTGCCGAGAGGGCTTGGGAAGGGCCATGATTTCTCCAGCCTTCCTCCCGGGAGAGGCTTGTGGATGTCAATCGGCAGCCTGGCGGTTAGCAGCAAGCACATCACCACTGTGCGGCACACAGGGACCCTGATGAGGCTTGCAGACAATGAAGTGCCCTTCACCCTAAGCAGCCTCCACTTCAGGGAGGGATTGGAAGAAAGTTCATCCTTACAAGGCAAGGCGGGAGGAGAAAGGAAGCCTGTAGAGAAGTATCCTGAATGCGTCCGTCGTAGAGCAGGAATGTTGCCGTGCTCCGAAGCTATGTGCCCTTTTGTCCCAGCACAGGAGCAGTCCCAGTAACAAGACTGGGAAATGGGTGTCGTTCAGTTCTGCAAGCATCTATCGACTCCTTTGGCACGAGGAATCTAGGGGTGAAGAAAAGTCAGCCCTCAAGGAACAGCCAGGCCACGGTGGGAAGCTCACGCCCGCTTCCTGGAGGGGATGCCCTGAAGCCGTGCCTCCTCTGCCCAGCACAGTGCTAGCTAGATGCTGGGCCGCCAGCGATCCCTTTGCTTGAGAAGTTGCCATCGAGTGGGACAGACTGAAGTACCCTAAGGCTCATTTGCTAACCTGCTGACTCTGCTTCCGTATTTTTCCATCGCTTAAGCTTGCCATTTCCACATTACTTTTTCCTCCCAGAGCCACCGGATTAAAAATGTTGGTGGGCTGCTGCCCATGCCCGTAAGGGATACCTGTGGGAAGTTCCCTAGTTGGTCAGCCCCCTAGTCAGCGTGTGCAGTTGTGACTGGATGGGGCAAGTCACCCCCCCTACTCTGGGTATGCTGCTTTATAAGCTGAGAGAGGGGACGTTGAGGGATAGCTGACTCCAGGCTGCCAGCTCCAATTGAGCTTCTCATCGGACCAGTCTGGGTGGAAACCGGGTAAAACCAGATGCAAAAGCAAAGAGCACAGCTGGCACGGGTGCTTTGAGGAGCGGCACGTGATCTGGACCGGTGGAGGGGTGGGGCGGGGAGAGGGGAGGTCAGGCAAAGGTTTGCTTGGATAAGTGACAGCTCAGCTGAGGCTCAGCCAGGCTGAATCTTAAATGTTTCTAATTTTGTTTCGTATTTTATTGTATATAATTTTATTTTGAGCCCTTTTGGAACTCTTCATGCTGCCTTAGTAAAACAGCACTTTAACTGGATAGCTTTCAAGAACAGGGATGTATCGTCTCTCAGTTCAGGAGACCACCAGGCTAAATTCAAGACGTGTCTACAGGGCAAGACCTCCCTTGGTCTCTTTCATCTTTCAGAAGCTAGTAGGTGTGCTCAGACTTGATTTCGCTTCCGCTGTCTCACATGGTGACGCCTGCTGTGTATGTGCCCGTCTATTCTGTTCCTTTTAGGAGAAGGCCACTCAGAAGGGATTAGATCTGGGGTCTACCCTCCTCTGGTGTGATCTTATTAACAGCAAAAGAACCCCTCCTCTTCTTTTTCCTTTTTATTGTGACTTGGACCAAGGTTTACAGAGCAGATCAGTTTGCCATTGAAAACTTCATAGCCACTTTGTCTCACCTCAGTGATTGCAATTCCACATTTCTCATCCCACTTCCTCCTTTCCTGACCCTCTGAAATTTGTCCTGGAGTAAATCCTACTCTTTTGATCTCGAATGGTTACCGTGTGTACTCGGGTATAAGCCGAGTTTTTTAGCACATTTTTAAACGCAGGTTTTGTGGTAAAATTAAGTGCCTCGGCTGATATTCGGGTCGTCTTATACTCCAGTATGTACGGTAATTATTTTAAGGAGGGTGTGTATGCCTTCCCAGTGTTATTGTCCTGGTATCCACTTTTCTGAAGGACCATGAACTGCTGAAGAGCAATCATTTCTCTCTTGGGGGAAGTACATCCAGAGTGCTCCTTAGAAACCAGGGTGTCAACGCTGTTACTTACTTCGAGGGCCCAGACCCAGGAGAAGGACATGATGGTTGGTAGAGGGTCACCGAAAAAGAGGAAAGCCCTTGATGAAATGTATTGGCACATTGGCTGCAACAATAACTGCACACATCCCAACACTGGGCCATGTGTCATTTTGTTGTGCTGCTGAGTGGGCGTCCACCGGACAGCACCTGTGGATAACTAACCTAGACGTGGCTCCTGTCTGGCTGAAAATTGAGACAGGAGGGTGAGTTCATTTACGGACTAAGCCTCTGTTTTGAAACAGGGTTATATTGACACTTACAGGGGTGGTGATGTCCACACTGGGAAGTGGGGGGTTGGGTGGGGGAGAGACACCCTCCAACCCAAGGAGCCCTAGTAGTATAGTGGGTGACACATGGGCTGCTCACCACCAGGTCAGCATTTTGAAATGTTCTCCGCAGGAGAAAGGAGAGGCCTTTTCCTCCCATCAGGATTTACAATTTCTAAAACTCACAGGGGCAAAAAGTCAACAAGTTGCTCTATGCATTCGAAACGACTCAGTCAATGGCAGTGAGGTATTTTTCCCCTTACTATTCAAACCATGACTGTTGATGGCACAATGGTTAAATGCTCAGCTGCTGATGGGTGAATGGTTCAAACCCACCACACCTGGGGATCTGTGTTTGTCTGAGTGGACGAGAAGAGAAACAAATCCAGAGACCCTCATAGTTATATAAGAAAGAGCTTTATGTACAGGAGCAATTGAATATTGAGAAAACATCCCAGCGCGGTCCAGATCAAGTTCATAACTCTGATATTAGCCCATCCGTCCAATACCAATCTATAAAAATCTCTTCAGACTCATGCAGCACATGCAATGACACTGAATGCAGGAAGATCTCAGGCCAATGGTTGGAAAGTCTTGTGGATCCAGCAGTGGTAGAGGCATCTCAGCGCTGGCAGGGGTCTCCACATGTTCCAGGGCTTTACGTATCTCCATGTGTCTTGTCAGCAAGCATGTCTCACAGGGTGCGAGCCTGTGTCCTGCCTCCAGCAAGCTGTTTATCTCCTTAGTATCTCTAAATGAGGTCACCTAGCTGATTGCCAGGCTAAATTCCACTCGTTCACTCTTACTACTCTCAAATTGACAACAGATTATGTCATTACCACAGGATCTGCTTCCATAAAGATTACAGCGAAGGAAAGTCTATGGGGGCAGTTTCAATTTGTCACATTGGGTCACTAAGAGTCAGAACCACTGAATGCCGTACAACAATATCCAATCCAAAACAGTGTTCTCACATTAGAACCACCAGAAGAGAGTTGCTTATCAGAGAAGTTGGCTTTGGTAACTCCAGGTCTCTGAGAGGTCAACTGCAGGTTGAGCTCCAGGTGGAACGGAATGGGGCTGAGGCAGGGCTCTCTCTGACCAGCTGCAGTGTGTTAGCAGGCAGGTGAGTTTGCAAAGCATGCTCCGCCTCTCTCTGCATGGGCACAGCATATATAAGACCTCAGCTTTTCAGTGCTCTGAATTAGCCTCTTCACTCTCACCCCCAAAGTTAGTAGGA